GAATTTAAACTTAAAAAGCCACATGTGGCTAGTGGCTACAGTATTGGATGGTGCAGCTTGGTTACGGGAGATTGTCAAATAAATGCCTCTAGGGCCATTGCTGGCAGCCTTGCCTACTGACCACTCTCTCTTTGTGCTCCTGTTCGTTTTTTTTGGTCTCTAAGGATTTTTCTTAGTTGCTTATGAGCTTTGCTATGCATTTAAAAGAATAATTCTTGTATTTTATCAAATATGTTTGATGTCATGTAGCAAGAGGGTTCCCAATCCATTTGGACACAGGAATCTCAGAAACAAATACCTGACAGCTGTATTTTTAGTTGGAGAAGTACTTATCTTGAATGATAAAAATTGGAAAGTTCACAGTAGAGTAGTGGAAGTTCTTCAAATGGAAACTGACCGTGAAGTTAAAAATTGTGAGGAAGAATTAATTAAATACTTCTTTGCCATCCTTCTTATTCTACCAAAAATTTAAGGATGTGAAAGATAAAAATGGAGCTGTGGCTAAAGTTCTTAAAGTCTTACACATCATCTTCACCTTCTTGGTGTGAGTAAGTTATTTTACTTATACAAGAGCACTTGAATGAAAAGGTGTATATATTTAATTTAGAATTATTTTGCATATGGATGGAAAAAAACAAATGAATTTGAGAGATTGTAGGGAATGGTGGTGGCTAAGGGATAAGAAAAGACTTTGACATTCATTCAATGCTGAAAGTATTTGTTTCACTTCTGGCTTTAACAGGGCCTGTATTAGTTATTTAATTGGGGGGATTTCAAAAAATCTAAATAATGAGTCCTAGCTATTTCTCAGGTAGACCCTTTGCTGAATACTTTAGAACTGTGTGGTTGGTTTTGATGTTTATTAATAAAAAATGCCTAGATTCTTTTTTTTTTTAATTTTTTTAAAAAAATTTGTCAGAGAGAGAGAGGGAAAGAGGGAGCATGCATGCACAAGCAGAGGGAGAAGCAGGCTCCCTGCTGAGCAAGGAGCCTGGTGTGGGGCTCCATCCTGGGAACCTAGGATCATGACCTGAGCTGAAGGCAGATGCTTAACCAACTGAGCCACCCAGCCATCTCTAAAAAACACCTAGATTCTTTGTAATAATTTTCGGTTATTTTAGGATTTGCTTGCTCTTTTTGGAGCCATAGGTACATTTGATTCTTTTTTTAATTTACATTTTTTATTGTGGTAAAATATACATAAGATTTAACATTTTAACCTTTTTTAAGTGTCCAGTTCAGTGGCATTAAGTACATTTACATTGATGTACAGCCATCACTATCCATTTCCAGAACTTCTCTCTTCCCAGACTGAAACTCTGTCCCCATTAAACACTAACTCCCCATTTTCCCCCACCCTCAGCTTCTGGCACCCACCATCCTACTTTCTGTCCCTGAATTTGACTTTTCTAGGTGCCTCATATAAGTGGAAAAATAGGTTGTTTGTTTTATATATGACTGGCTTATTTCATTTAGCATAATTGTTCTCAAGATTAAATTTGATTTTCTAAATTTATAATTTGTTATGAGAGTAAAAGAATGGAAATCCCATCAGCTTATAGTGGAGATTGGCATTCTTGTGTATTTCTTTCAGTAGGAGAAGTTAGTAAACAATAAAATAAGTTACTATCAATTTGGTCTCCTGAAAGAATATTATTAGAAATAATAGAATGTGATACCATATGTTGTGGTTTATAATTCTATTAAATTTAAGTTTTAAAATAATTAAAACTGGGACTGCTGAGCTAGTTCTAGAATAGATTATCTGGTGTTATAAAAACCAGAAGTCTTTTCAGATCCTTTGAGAGGTTTTAACTGTCTAAAAGTGTCAGAAATTATTTTAAGGTCGTGTAGTGCTTGCAATAAAGAAAAGGATTTGGTGGAGTTTGCTTTACTTTTAAATAGACCCTGAGTTCCCTGTCAGGATGGGTTGATTATCCTTAGGCTGGCTCACCATTCATGTATATCAAGTTTTTTTTTTTTTTTTAAAGATTTTATTTATTTATTTGAGAGAGAGAGAATGAGAGAGAGAGCACATGAGAGGGGGGAGGGTCAGAGGGAGGAGCAGACTCCCCGCCGAGCAGGGAGCCTGATGTGGGACTTGATCCAGGGACTCCAGAATCATGACCTGAGCCGAAGGCAGTCGCTTAACCACAGGCGCCCCATGTATAGCAAGTTTTGTTACAAAAGTTAGAGGAGTCACTTGAAAGAATCTGTATTAGTTTAGCATGAGTATAAATTCTCATGCTGAGAATAAACAGCATGGCTCAAGTTCCTAGAAAATGAGTTTAAAGGACAGATTTTATGGAAATACTCCAATATACCTTTTATGTGAAACTGTGGAATTAAGACAAATTACTTTTTTTCCTTCTTGGATGATGTGAAAAACAAAGTTAGATTTTTTTTTTCTTTTTTGTATGTCCAATGGGAGGGGATAGCATTTAGAGAAGGAGAAAGAGAATGTGCACACGTTATCTTATGTTCTTCTGAACTGCCTTGTTGCTTAAAGAGTTCCCAGACTACCTACTTTGAGAGTAGATAGGAAGATCTACATTTCAAAGCTGTGATTAGGGGTAAGGAATCTTGAACCAGTATATTCAGTTATAAGTAATTTCAAAGTATGTTTCTATATAAGAACTGCTCCATGACATTTCACAGTAATTCCAATACATGCATTGCTGCATATTTGTAAAGTATATTTATTGCTTTAGATAGTAAGGTTATAAATCCACTGTTTATACGTTTTATTATCCTGGCATATTTGAGGTTACTATTTTCAGTGCTAAGAAAATTCTTGATGTCTTAGGAACTTCAGTCCTTGAATACGTATTTGTTTTTTTTTTTTTTTAAGATTTTATTTATTTATTTGAGAGAGAGAATGAAATAGAGAGAGCATGAGAGGGGGGAAGGGTCAGAGGGAGAAAAGAAGCAGACTCTGCTGAGCAGGGAGCCTGATGCGGGACCCGATCCCGGGACTCCAGGATCATGACCTGAGCTGAAGGCAGTCGCTTAACCAACTGAGCCACCCAGGCGCCCTCTTGAATACGTATTTGTTCAGCATTTTACGATTATGGGTAGGAAGGGCACACTACTTAGTACAGAGCTCTTTGATGTTGCCCTTTAGGAATTTTAAATGTAAGATAAAAAACTTGATATAAACAGGAACAAAAAGTCGCTGGCCAAAGAGACTAGATTCTACAAGAGTAAGTAAAGTCCTGGATCATCTGTGAACGTTTAATCTCCTTTGTGTGTCTGTGACGTGGGATTGCTTTCCCATGTCATCATCATTCAGCATGTTCCAGGGGCATCATGTTTGACCTCATAGTTTCCTGGGAGGGAAGACCGGTCTGATAGACTCAGTGAAGCGCCATCAAGAGAGTGTATTTATAGTGAGAAACTTGCATCGTGTATTCTAAAACTAACATGTAGATTATATGTTGTTTTAGATTTTCCATACAACTTCTCATTTCCTTTGGGATAATTGGGTTATCTGGAAATGAAAATCATAGTATTTGCTGCATAGATAAAGAAGAAAGTGTGTGGGATGGGGGTCAGGTGACAACGTGGCAGCACTATGATTATATGCCATTGCTAATTACAGTATACGAATCATGCTGTGCATACAGATTTTCATTTTGTAAATTTGTATTTCTCACATATATTACATGACATGAGTAAAGAAGTATATAGATGGGACAAGCATTATTTCTTCAAAAAATGTTACCCTAACTTTAACCTATTTCAGAATCAGAGGTCCTTAGTATTATGCTATTTTCTTAATTGATTTAGAAGATCAAGTAATCATCACTTCTTGTAGTTGCAAAAAGTAGTTTATCAGTTCGTGAAGAAAGCTGTACATGAGGAAGCACAGTGCAAATTTTGTGTCGAATTTTAATTTATCTGTGGAATTTTATGTATTAGATTTGGGGAGGCACTTGTCATTCATGGATGTGTTGAAATATAACATTAGTATTTCAACACATCCATGAATGTGTTGAAATATGCCTTTATGCCTCTTTTTCTTTAATATATTAATGAAGTAAGGAACATATAGTTCATATTTATACTAATACAGGGTGATACTTTATCTTATACTGAAGTGAAAAGAACCAAATATGAAAATTTTCATGTAGTACTTATGAAGTGTATTTTAAGAATACTTACAGAAAATCCCTTGAAAGGAAACGTGCCCCACATAGTTGGGTAGATGTAATGGCGTTGTGTGGTGAGAGAATTTTTCTTTCTATTTTGCTGCTGTTGCCAATTTTTTAAAACTATGAAACCATATTTTATAATGAGGAAAAGGCCCATTATTAGAGAACGTTTATAGCAATAACTTTGGTCATCTTTATTTGATAGTGTATATGAATTATTTATGTGTAATAAAAAAAAAATTTAGCAGGCGTGATGTGCTATATCTAGCCTAGATAGAGTGCTTCCTTTCTAGGATTTATTTATTTGGGAAGGTGGGAGGGATTAAGATTTTAGTAAGTGAAGACCAAGGACACCTATTAATATGTTTCTGTGTGATAATTACTTTATACATACTATTTGCTTTTGAGATAACTTCTTAAAGACAAAGGAAAAGGGGCGCCTGGGTGGCTCAGTTGGTTAAGCGACTGCCTTCGGCTCAGGTCATGATCCTGGAGTCCCGGGATCGAGTCCCGCATCGGGCTCCCTGCTCGGCAGGGAGTCTGCTTCTCCCTCTCCCACTCCCCCTGCTTGTGTTCCCTCTCTCGCTGTGTCTTTCTCTGTCAAATAAATAAATAAAATCTTTAAAAAAAAAAAAAAAAGAATTTTTGTTAAAAAAAAAAAAAAGACAAAGGAAAAGATGAATGTTTTAAAGATTGGTAATTTTTTATATTTAGATGACCACCAGAGGGTTCTTTTGGGAATAGAAAATTGTTGAAACCAAATTATTTTCATTTCCTTTTAGAAAATTTTATTTTAAATGCTGATGTTTAGAAAAGATGATTTTTTTCTCTTTGTTTTCTCACCAGGACATGTATTCTTCTGAGAAGCCTTGGGCAGCAGATTTTGGTTTACTCTCCGATTGGGACAGCCTACAGAGACATTTCCAGTCATGAGTAAGTGTCCGTCTTTGTTTCATTTCAGGGGCCTCAGGAGCATTTGTGGAGTACTCAAAAAAAAAAAAAAATTTGTTATGGGACAAACTGGAATTATGTCACTTCGTCAGAGATTGGATAATCTGGTTCAGCCCGATTGTGCACCTGTCTCTATTGAAACAAGGAGATCCTTTCTGTGTTTCATTTATTCAGAGAAGTTAGATGTGCTGAGGAAATCTGTGTTGTTAGTTTCTTGGCTGATTTAGTTCTATTACCCAAAATATTCTGTTGACTTAGTCATTGGAAAGGGACTCGTTAGAAATGTGAAGAGGGAAACAGACTCATAAATATATACGACAAACTAGTGGTTGCCAGAGGAGAAGTGGGTGGGGGAAAAAGAAAGAAAAATGAAGAGGGAAAATTTAAATTGACCATAATTATCAGAGGTTTAATTGTGTGAAGCTTAATCATTGGATAACATGTGTTAGTATTATATTTAAGCAAAAAAATAATCTCTTTGTTAATGTCTTTGATGGAATGAGAACCAAGTCTGTCCTATAAGACTTAGCAAATTTGATACAGATTTTATCTTCTCAGTTGTAAAGGGGTTGTACTATACGTAATATTTTCTGCCATTCCAATCCACTTTTTCCTGTGAAGAGGAGAGCTGGATTTTACTATTTTGTATTAACTGTTTACTTTTAGAGAGTGAGGAAAGAGTTAAGATTTTTACTCTGATCACATGACAGTTTGATGTACTTTTAAAAAAAGTACAGAGTTTTTGATTATGGGAACTTTGGAATAGAGTGAGCATTTCCTTCTGGAATATAATGTTAGTTTAAAAATTTTCACATGTAATTCATAATGATTATATTTATCTTAATATGGATAGTTATTCTTATCGATTGAAATAATTAGGCAGTTGATAAATGAAAGTGAGGCTGTTATTGTGAAATCTTTGAGTGCTTTCTACTAATAATATTGCAAGATGTGTGCTTTGATTTTCGAGACTTTTCAGTGGGCTCCTTTTTCAGTGGTGTACTTTGAATAAACCAGGATAGTTGCTAGATGAGTTCAAATACAGATTGAAGAAGAAGCAGCTTTTGATATTTCAGCTCCATTCATACGAAATTTTGTGAGAACGTTTCTCTAACGTAAAGTGCCAACTCATAGTAAAGATGATAATGTGAGTTTATGAAAACTAAGAAATGTCAGACATTTTAACTTAAAAATGCTTACTACATTTTGGGAAATGTACATTTGACTTTGTAATTTTAGTTGTTCAGTTAGCATCACTGTTACAGAGTTCTTTGAGGACAGGTGCCCTGTGTCTTTCATTTTTGAATCTCAGCGTCTAACAGTGTCCTGTACACTGCTGTCCCTAAAAATTCAGAGCCCTGTGCTGACAAAGGCAGAGGTGAGGGATAGCTCGTTAGGTGACTCATAATAAACTATCTGAACCACATATAGGTTTTTACTTGTGAGTTACAATGCCTGTATTTCGTTTGTAAGATTTTTATTGGTTCTTTTTAAATATCCACTAGTTCTTTTTTTGTTTCTGCTTGTTTTTATTTAAAAAAATTTGGTTCTTTTATTATTCTTTTATCTCTTTGTCTATCTTTTATGTGCTTATTTTGAGTCTTTTTCAGATCACTTTATTATTATTATTTTTTTTTATTTTGTCTCCAGTGAATTTATATTGTGGTTGTTGATACTCTTGGTGTTTTCATCGTGTTCTGCAATCTTGCAGGCTCAGTCTGATGAAAATTCTTTCTCTTTCTCCTGTGTCTTTGTCTTTTTGTGATTTTCCCTGCTGGTCTGGCAGCTTTGCAGTTGTCTCTGCCTGCCTTTGGAGTTCCCAGATCAGAATCAGGTCTTGTGTTAGTGGATCAGAGCTCCAGCGCCGTGGTGATGCTGGTGATATCACAGATTCTCTCCCTGAGTCACCTGGCATTAGGTCAGCAGCTTCCTCTGCGGTAACTTCAGCACCGTTAGCAAAAGCCCTTTTCAGTCTAGTTTCGTAATCCAGGATGAGTGCCGCCCCTGCCCCTGGTTTTAAGCAAGGAGCCTGGCTACTGACCCTGCTTCACTCGGAACTCTTTTGCATACAGTTACCCCATGGGATTTACTTCCTGCTGCCTTTTCCTGCTTTGGGGCCTTGCACTGTGTTCTGTTAGATTTCTGATCTAGAGATGTTGAACATGTTTTGGGGCATAGGTAGGTCATTTTAGTGACTTGTTTTTATACTTTATCTGTTATTTCTCTGTGTTTGTTGTGAAGACAAGGGAGACACAAAGATTGAACATGCCATTGGAGGTTTATGACCATGAAGTCCAAACTTCTTATTTCACATTGAAGATTAAAAGGGCCCCAACAGTTTCTGCTTAGTTCTCTAGCTGCTAGTGTTCCTCTTCGTCATGCTTGCATCACTTTCCTTGCTAGCCGAGCCCCATCGTGCTTCCTCCCTGTAGCACCCTGCTTGCCTCACTCTAGTTCCTGTCCTACTGTTTTAAAATCACGTGGTTGTTCATTCTTATCTTCATGTAATGTGTAAGATCCTTGAGGGCAAAAATTGTGCTAAACACTTTTCCTGGTACTTAATAGGTGCTCAATAAATAATGCATGGATTTGGGTGTTCCTAAGTAACATCCTTTAGTATGGGGTAGCTATTCCATGTGTTACTATTTTTAGGTGAAATTTAAGCTGATCCCATGTAAAGGGAGATTGAGGGGCGGGGTGGGGGCAGGGAATGTGTGTGTTGTGCGTGTGTGTGTGTGTGTGTGTGTGTGTGTGTGGAGTGTGGCATAGGATAGAGTGTTCCGAGAAAGTGGAGCAGTGTGAGAAAGGCATGAAGGCGTGACTACATGTAGTTGAGCATTTGGGAGCATAGAGATGAGGAATGACAGAGAGACGGGGAGAGATAAAGCTGGAGGAGGTGCAGTCAGAGTTTGGGGCAGGGACGTTCCAGGAAGTTTGCATTTCACCATGTAGGGCTTAGGAGCTGTTAAAGGATTTCAGTTAGGGGAGCAACTGAAGATTTTGTTACAGAAAAATTACTCTGACAAATAGACATTTTGGTTAGATATAAGTTTAAAAAGATTGGTTACAGGCAGTTTGACTTCTTCTAGATTTTTTCTTAGTTTTCCGCCCATTTTAGGCTTTCTTTGAAATAGACTGTGAGTTGCGTTTCTTATTCTTGCCAATGTGATGGCTTTTTCTACTGACAGAAGTTATTCTTGAGTAGACCACCGTAACCATAGGTTAGGGAGTGTTACAGTGTCTATATTATGATGCAGTTTCTAGGGGGTTGTAAGTTTTCAAAAAGGTGGGAACTGAGTATATCAGAGTTTCAGTTTTTGAAAAAAAAATAGTGAAGAATCATGGTACAGCTTAAAAAATAGGAAGATACTATCATTAAAGTCTAGATAGAATTTCCAAACCTAGATTTGGGTGAGAATGATGGGTAACCAAAGTTTTTTTTTCAATATTTCTTTAGAGATGAAAAGAAAGGTTGATACTTATGTCTGGGTGGGTTTCTCTCAGAAGCATTTCCTAACCCTTCCCGTGTCATGAAGCACATAGGACGTGGTAGAAGTTGTACTGCATGTGGGGTAAACTGATGGAGTTGTTTGGGGCTTAGGCAACTGGCTCTGACACCTCAGACCAGGCTGCTACTTGTGCCCAACTGTCCTGAAAGCAGCGGGGATCCCCTTCTCTGCACACCCTGGCACCCCGGTTGGGATGCCCCAGCTAAAGCCTAGAGAATTGCTTAAATGTTTTAAGATGTTTTTCAGCTTTTAGTTTAGATTTTTAATATTCTGCCCAGTTCTGAGGCTAGATATTTATCTGGTGGAAAATGTATTATATGGTGCTGCTATGAGTTGTGCGTTTCGTTGTGGATTGTTGACTTTATTACAATCCACAAAAAGCCTTTTGATTTTCAGTGCTTAAATTGTGTTTTTTTTTTCTGTATTTGCATATGTTGCAATGTTAAACACTTGTCAAGATTTTTTTCAAAATTTTGTTTTTTAAATTTTTTATTGTTATGTTAATCACCATACATTACATCATTAGTTTTTGATGTAGTGTTCCATGATTCATTGTTTGTGCATAACACCCAGTGCTCCATGCAGAACGTGCCCTCTTTAATACCCATCACCAGGCTAACCCATCCTCCCACCCCCCTCCTCTCTAAACCCTCAGTTTGTTTTTCAGAGTCCATTGGCTCTCATGGTTCGTCTCCCCCTCCGATTTCCCCCCCTTCATTCTTCCCCTCCTGCTATCTTCTTCTTCTTCTTCTTTTTTTTTTTTTTTAAACATATATTTGCATTATTTGTTTCAGAGGTACAGATCGATGATTCAACAGTCTTGCACACTTCGCAGCGCTCACCATAGCATATATCCTCCCCAATGTCTATCACGCAGCCACCCCATCCTTCCCATCCCCCACCACTCCAGCAACCCTCAGTTTGTTTCCTGAGATTAAGAATTCCTCATATCAGTGAGGTCATATGATACATGTCTTTCTCTGATTGACTTATTTCGCTCAGCATAACACCCTCCAGTTCCATCCATGTCGTTGCAAATGGCAAGATCTCATTCCTTTTGATGGCTGCATAATATTCCATTATCTTCCATTCCACATCTTCTTTATCCATTCATCTGTCGAAGGACATCTTGGCTCTTTCCACAGTTTGGCTATTGTGGACATTGCTGCTATAAACATCGGGGTGCACATCAAAATTTTGTTTTATCAGATGGTGCCAAAGATGAAGTATTTGTATGAAAATTGTTATATTTAAACTGTGGCTATAATTTGAAATGGACCTCTTAGATCTTTTTTTTTTTTTAAGATTATTTATTTATTTATTTGTCAGAGAGAGCACAAGCAGAGAAAGCGGCAGGTGGAGGCAGAGGGAGAAGCAGGCTCCCCGCTGAGTGCGGAGTCCGATGTAGGACTCAATCCCAGGACCCTGAGATCACAATCTGAGCCAAAGACAGACACTCAACTGACTGAGCCA